GCAGAAGAAGGACGAGATCACGGCTGAACAGGGAGGAGGCCGGCTGGGCGACCGTGTGGAGGGGGGGAATGGAGGTCGGGGAGGCTCTGACGGTGGCCAAATGCTTCTGCTTTGCAGGGAGCGATGTTCTCCAGTGGATCGCCCAGCGGCTGTGGGTCTCCAGTCTGGGTGAGAGCTCGTCTTCTCCTCCGAGACCGAGGGCTGCTCTATGCGCGTCACCCTGGGGGCATCTCTGGAGGGTAGAAGCTAAACGGGGGCTCAGCCCGCGTCTCTGAGAAATTGACATTTTAATTGGAGAGATGAGAACTTCATGGGTAATCAAGAAAGACTTCCTGGAGGGGGTGATGCATACATACCCTTGGTCCCGAAACAAGCGATGCCTGTGAATCCTGGAGGGAAGCTCAGAGGGTCTGTCTTCCCAGCGGGGAAATTAGCAAAGATGTAAACATGGAATGAAGGAGGAATGGAGCGGTAACAGGGGAAATGGGGAGTAGTAACTCCAGCTGGGTGTGGAGGGCAGTGGACGGGTGGGGTGCACCTGGTACATTCTTGGATTCCAAATTTTATCTGGGAGAGAGGCAGTGTAACCCATGGAGGGTTTTGCAGCGTGGCGGTGTGTACAGTAATCAGATTTAAGCTGGGATGTTAGGCAGCAGTCTGAAGGATGGATTGGGGCAGAAAGCCTCGGGGACCTGACTTGCCACTAGCGAAAAGGCTGTTGGTACAACGAAGGTCTGGTCTCTGATAGAGAGAGGGAGATATGAGGAGGGAGGGTGGGGAGGGAGCCTCCCCACTCCTGGGAGGCTGAGCTGTGGGATGGGATGTGGGTTGGGTCGTTGGGCCTGCAGGATGGGAGGGCTGGGATTCTCTCTTGATGGTAGAAAGACACCTGCTCTCGCTGGTGCCTCTGAGAATGAACCAGGACAGTTATCCTTTAACTGATGCAAATCCAGAACCAAGACTGTGTGTCTGAGCAGACTGGAGGGGGGTGGGAGTTGAAGGGACGTGGGGAGGAGCCCGGGGTCTGGACCCAGGGTGCAGGCAGAGCTGAGCTTGGGGTAGCAGTTGACCATAAACACAGCCTCACCCTCCTGCCCATCTCGGGATGAAGAGGTGTCTGTTGGTCAAGCAGAGACGTTCTCTCCCTGCTCCTCTGGACTTCTCCAGACCCAAAGGGCCCAGCGATGCTCCTCCAGGATTTCCCCACCTGTCACCCCCAACGCCTGCAGTGGATGATCTGTGGCACCGTCAACACTGGGGTCGCTGACTGCCCTCCAGACTTACTGAGTTGTCCTTCGGGGGCTGGGCTGGGGGACCCTCCTTTTAGCCTTGGCTACCCAGCTGATACCTGTCCGCAACTAAGTTCAGGAACCACTGTCCCCACTTCTCGGCTGAAGTGCTGTTAGGATGGGGGTACCCTCCCTGAGTTTGGGGTGCTGTGTGGGGGCGGGGCCGTGAGCTTCTGCCCTTGGCCCCTGCTCTTAACTTCCTTGTCTCAACCACTTCTCCCCAGAGGCTCAGAACCTGGGCAACTTGATTGTCAAGTACGGCTACATTTACCCCCTGCAGGACCCCAAGAACCTCGTCCTCAAGCCTGACAGCAGCCTCTATCGATTTCAGGTGAGCCTTGGCCTTGACCTGGGGTGTTAACAGGGGGTTAGTGTCATCTGAAAAGATGATTGGTTGGCTTCACACCCTCACAGATCCTTAGAAACCGTGGAGGGGGCTAAGGCAGCTTTATGTTTTAAGCTAGAGGGCTGGGGGCCGGGGGTTCACAGCCCAGTGTGTAAGCCTGGTTCCCTGGTTTCTCTTGTAGACACCGTATTTCTGGCCCACCCAGCAGTGGCCCGCTGAAGACACAGACTATGGTAAAACTCCGCCCCTCCTCCTATGCCTTGGGGAGGGCTTACCATGCTGCTTATTTACTTGCTGCATTTTGGTGACATTTGTCTTGCTGTCTTCACGACCTTTATGTCAGTTCTCATCTGTATTGGGAGTGATTCCCAGGGGAGGGACTGGGTCTGCTGAGTGTTCTCTTCACTAAGCTGAGCACAACAGTCTCACGCATAGAGGGGTTTTGAAATCTGAGGATGTGATGGAGAATGTCATTGTTTTCTTTTCCAGCCATCTATCTGGCCAAGAGAAATATCAAGAAGAAAGGGATTTTAGAAGAATATGAAAAGGTACAGAGATGCTTTCAAGTATAGGCTCTTGTAATTGAGTGGAATACAGTCTTGAGCTGTTTCCCCCTGTTCCCCCCATTAATCGATTCATATGTACCCTCATCATCCATCCATCCCTGCATCCCTCATCCATCCATCCCTCCATCCCGCATCCATCCATATATTTAGAAGCAGCCGGCTGAAGTAAATTCTCCTTCATGTTGAGGTTCAGTTTCTCCTGCTGTAACTTAAGCCCTTGCCTCAGTAACTACTGGGCACACAGTAGCTACCACTTTCCTTCTGCTGTCCCAAAATAATAGGACTTAATTAATATGTGTGATAATGCATATTACAGGATGGACGAATTTGAACTTGAGTTTGAGATGGGAAGACACGAGTGCAGACTTTTGTTTTAGGCAGGATGAGTCATATTTCTCAAGGAACACACCCTAACCCTCAAAAGGCTAGATTTCTGGGCAGACAGCAACAATCTTGCTGTTTTTTTTTTTTGCTTTTTACAAACATGTTTGCAGAAAGCCAGCATCACACCAATGTTAGGGCTTAGCTTTGTGGATCTGTTGTGCTTCTGTTGTTGAATATTAAGTCCCATATTCTCCTCCGAGCCACCCCCTCTTCCTTATCAGGTTTGGGATACATTTATTAAAAAAAAAATAAACAACAAGCCAACCTGTGGCTTCTGTTGTGAAGGCTTGTCGAGAATTCGGTGCTACCCTTTGAATGACTGCCTTTGCACAGCTGGGCTGGGAGACCGTTTGGCTGGGTCTCGTTGTTGACTTAAGGCTTCCTGCCCTCTGCACACAGCATAGGTTGTGGGGCTCAGTGTTCTCATTTTGTTTTCCTCCTCTAGGAAAATTATAATTTCCTGAACGAAAAAATTAACTACAAGTGGGACTTCGTCATCATGCAGGCCAAAGAGCAGTACCGGTGAGTCAGAGATCTTGTCTTTCCTCCTCCCTTCCTTCTTTGTTTCTTTTTAATAAAATAAACTTTTATTGGGTGCTTATGTGTTAAACAGTGGGTGAGGCATAGGGGAAGGTAGAGGCATCGTCTAGGGAGCCCGGCAGACAAGCAGACAGGCCATGATGCCTCAGTGAGTCGAGAGCCCCACGTCGGGGTTTGGAGAAGGGGCTGCAGAAACAGCATTGAATCTGGAGGCTGCAGGGGGGTGTATCCAGGTGAGGGATGGTGGTGGTGGATGGAGAGGAGAGGTGGGATGAAGGGTGCTCTAAGCAGACAACCAGAGTCTGGGGGCATGGGAGTGCCCCCGCCTGATGCCGTCCCTTGGAGCTGGCACAGAGAGTGCAAAGCCCCAGACTGGCGGAAGTGAGGCTGGATGTGTTAGCAGGAGCGGATCGGGAGAAGGTTTTGTGCTCAGGGCCGTGGGGAGCCATAGAAGGATCTTAACCATGGGAGAGCTGTCATCAGAGTCACCTGTTAGAGCACGCTCACCGCTCGCCCTCATTTGCCGGTTCAAAACTGGACCTGAAGTTCCACCTGGGGCCCCTGCCTTGTCTGTAAGGGCCAGCTGTACATGTTGGGGAGCGTGTATCAGTCAGGATGAGGTTAGGCTGTCGTAACAAACGTCACCCAGCAATCAGAGGCATGAAACCACAAGGCTTATTTCTTGCTCGTGTCACGTGTCCACCGTGGGTCGGCTGGGGCCCTGACATGCTTGCAGCCACTCCAGGACTCACGTCACTTCTGCTCACAGTTCACTAGCCAAGACAGCTCATGTGGTTATGCCTGCTTCAAAGGAGGGTGCACGGGGTGTGCAGTCCTCCTGTGTGTCTGAGATGCAGGAGAGTTAGGAATATCTGGCTGGGGACCGATACCAGTGATCACCAGAACAGAGTCCAGCCGGCCCGGCCTCACTCACCCTGGCAGGTGCAGACCCTGGGAGGTCTGCAGTGGCTGGCACATGGCTGGGCTGGACGGTGGAGACCCCGTCCTCCTGAAGCAGCCCTGGAAGAGGAGTAGTGGTGGGTGAGTCAAGGTTCTCCAGAGAAACAGAATCTCTGTGTATTGATCTAGCTAGAGAGGAGGTGGGGGAGGGGAAGGGGGGGAGAGAGTAGAGAGATTGAGATTGAGATTTGTTACAAGGAATTAGGTCGCACAGTTATGGAGGCTGAGCCGTCCCAGTACCTGCAGTCGGCCAGCCGAACCCCCAGGAGAGCTGATGTTTCAGCTGGAGCCTGAGGGCAGGAAGAGACCAATGTCCCAGCTCGAGGCCACCAGGCAAGAGGCACTTCCTCTTATTTGCAGGAGGATCAACCTTTTCGTTCTATTCAGGTCTTCAACTAAAAGCACCTTCATCCGAGGACATCCTCACAGACACCCCCAGAATAATGCTGACCAATCACCTGGGCACCCCTGGGCCCATAAAATTAACCATACCAAGTGGTGAGCACCGTTACACAGGAGTGCCGTCCGGGCAGACAGGAGTCCGGAAGGCAGGATGGCTTTATTGCTCACGTGGGGAAAATTTGTTCTCAGGCCTGAGTTCGTGCGGAGGTGCATTATGGGGAGAGCTGTCTCTGCCCTTTCACCCTGAACGTGCCTCTGCCTGGGTGCTTTTCAGACAGAGCAGCGGGGTGGGGGGGGGGGCAGTTTGCTAATCTTTTGCCACGTGCACTTGTGTGTGAGGCTCCACTGGGGTGGGTTCCGTGCACTGTCTCATCCCACGCTGGGGAGAGGAAATGCCGGGAGCAGTAATTCTTGTCGCCCCTCACATCTGCAACTGGGGAAACGGAGGCTTAGAGGGGTCAGAAGACTTGGCCAAGGTCACTGGGTGAGGTCGTGGTCCAGCCTGGCCTAGTGTTACTTCCACTCAGTGGGCGGTTTTTAGTGCCTACTGGGTTCCAGCACTGGGCCGGGCCCCAGGGACACAGAGTTGACTGGGATGTGCCCCCGCCCCACCCCTGACCCCTCTCCATCTTCCTCTGCCTCTCTGCTCCAAGCAGCACGAGCCCATGACCCAGAGGACTGTGGACCCCCGAGCTGCCTTGCAGCACAGAGGTGCCCCCAGTGGCCCCCGCAAGCCCCACCACTCGGGCCTTGGCCTCAGCCTGGGTAAAGCTCTGAGCTGCCCACATCATGGGGCAGCCCCTTGGCCATTCGCTTCTAGACGCCTTGGGATGAGCACTTCCTGAAAGCCACTTTCCTCTTGAGATGCTGGCTTTTCCCCACTGATTCTGTTCCTTCACTCAGAGGCTGCCTCAGATTTCAGGTTTAGGATCTGTGATGGTTAATTTTATGTGTCCGCTTGGCTGGGCCACAGTGCCTAGAGAGTTGGTCCAATACCCATCTCAGATGTCACTGTGAAGGTGCTTTTTAGTATTGAATCAATAGACTTTAAGTAAAGCGGATGACTCCCCCCAATGTGGGTGGGCCTCATCCGAACAGTTGAAAGCGTTACGAGACTGAGGTTCCCAGAGGAAGACGCAATCCTGCCTCTAGACGGGCTTGGACTTGAGCTGCCGCATCAGCTCTTCCCTAGTCCTCCAGCCTGCTGGCGTGTCCTGCAGAATTTGGACTTGCTAACCTCCTCAGTCGTGTGAGTGAATTCCTTGAAATATATAAATTCTGTCTCTGTCTCTCTCTATTTATTCTCCTACTGCTTCTGTTTCTCTGGAGAAGGCTAACTAATACAAGTATAAGATCTCACCACAAAATCAGGTTGGCCGTGTAGTCTGGCTCACGAGGCACCCATTTCGTTCCCCTGAGTCTCTGCGCACAGACCTCTCTCCTGAATCCCAGACTCAGCATCTCAGCTGTGAACTCAGCATCTCACGTTGACATCACACCTCAGCCTAACTTTGTCCATACTTGAATGTTTTCCCCTCGCTCCCCAAGCCTTCTCTCCCTTCAGCGTTACGCGTACCAGTACAACGAACCCCCATTCACCTCTCCCCGACCCGTGTCCTGTGTTCAGTCATCCAGTCCCGCTGGTACTGCTGGCAGAATCCCTTCTGCCACACCTGTCCACTTCTGTCCGCTTCCATCACCCTGGAGCCAACCTCACTGTCAGCTGGGCCATGGCAGCATCCTCTGCTCCCATATGCCCCCAGTTTTGAAACACAAACAGGATCCTGTCCCACCCTTTCGAGAGAGAACCCTCAGTTCAAATGTCATGTGCTCAAAGAAGCTTTTATTTCTTTTTTTTTGTTTGATCTTTATTGGGGTGTAGTTGGTTTACAATGTTTTGTCAGTTTCAGGTGTGCAGCACAGTGAACCAGTTAGACATAGACGTGTATCCCCTCTTTTTTAGGTTCCTTTCCATCTAGGTCATTACGGAGTACTGAGCAGAGCTCCCTGTGCTGTACAGCAGGGCTTTATTAGTTATCTAGTTTATATACGGAAGTGTGTGTATATCAGTCCCAATCAAATAAGCTTTTCTGATTAGCTGTTATTCTGCACACAATCATCCTGAAACTCCATGGCTCAGAGTGGCAACAGTATTTTATTATCTCTCAAGGGTTCTGTGGGTCTGGAGTTTGGGACGGCTGGGCTGGGCAGTTGTGGATCAGAGCCTCTCAAGTGCTTGCAGCCAGAGGGCTAGAAGGTCTGCCCTGGGCTCCCTCACAGCACCAGGCATATAACACTGCCTACGGGTGGTCGGAAGCCCCAAGGGCAAATAGTTCACTGAGGAGGGTGGCAGCTGCCCCACCTTCGATGGCCCAGCCTCAGGAATCACACGGTGCCATTTGTGATATACTCTGTTGGTCAACACAGCCACAAACCCCACCTGGTCTCGGTGGGGGAAGACATAGACCCACCTGGCAATGGAAGGAGGGTCACAGGACTGTAGACATACTATTTAAAAAGTACCACACTGGCCATCCCTGATTCTGCACTATAGTACACTGAATGTGTCCTCACAGCTCACGACACAGTTTGTAATTTTATATTTATTTCTTGACTATTTGTGGAATGTTTAGACCTAAAGGTACTCAAGGAAGGGCAGGAAATATGTCTGTGTGTCAGTGTGCTCAGGCTGCCGTATCAGAGTATCGTAGACTGGGTGTCTTAAACAACAGACATTTACTTTCTCACAGGTCTGGAGCGGGGGAAGTTCAGGATCAAGGCTGTGGCAGGGTTTGGTTTCTGATGAGGGCTCTCTTCTCAGCTTGCAGACAGCTGCCTTTTTCTTGTGCTCTCACATGGGGGAGAGAGATGGGCAGACAGAGAGACAGAGAGACTCTTCTGTCATCTCCTATTACCGGGGCACTAATCCTGTGATAAGGGCCCCACTCTCATGACCTCATCGAATTACTTCTAAACCCTAATTCCTTCTTAAAGGCCCCATCTCCAGACACTGTCGCACTGGGAGTTAGGGCTTCAACGTGTGAGTTTTTGGGGGATGCAAACGTTCAGTCCATTACAGTCTATTTGGTTCGCCCGAATTCTCCCAGTGTTTGGAACATAGTGGAGATCAGTAAATACGTGATTGAGTCAAAGTGTCATTGAGTAAGGGATACTGTTGCTATAAAGATCACAACATGACAAACTAAGATAATTCTTTGTTTACTGGTTCTCTTGAACGCCGTTCATCACCACACTCCTCCAATAACCTCTGTCACACAAGAGCAAAGCCAGAAAGGGCATTGCAGTAAATTAGCGATCAGCTCTATTGCCATGGTGGTCCAGCATTATGGAAAGTCCACAGTGCCTCAGGCCATCTGCAGCCCATCTTCCTGAGGACACGGGGTAGTTAACCCGGTAGAAAATCCATTTCAGTTGGCAAGGGGGAAGTTGGATGACAGTGTTTATAGTTAATTTCCAGAGGAGGTTGCAAAACAGCCCCCTGGAAGGGCACTCTCCACCCACCTGGCTCTCTGGATATTATGTTATTCACAATACATGAGCTGGCACATAAATCCGCCGACTCTGTCTCGAGGAGGGCGTGTGCGTCATCCTGCGTTGTCTGGGCAAACAAGCATCACCGAGCGGAGCGCAGGTCGCCGTGGCAATGGAGCTGGACGGGGTATGCTAATGAACACTGCCTCACCCCTGTCATTTCCTACCTGTAATGGGAAAGAGGGAGCATGAATAGCCTCTCACAGAAATCGGCTGGGCTCAGAGAAACCCTGACTTGGTGCGAACTCTTTGAAGTGACAGAGTGGAACTGACGTCTAGAGAGAAACCAGAACTCCCCAGGGCCCGCGTTTTCCCCATCCCAGCCTCTGGCATTGCTGTTGCCTCCTGACTCAGGTGTTGATTATGTTGTTTATCAGAGCAGGGAAAGGTCCGGAAGCCAGGTGGGCCGAGAATGTCATGCACAGTCACTCCAGTGGAGACGCTGGTGGAGACGGTCTGATCCTCGGGCTGCATGGTGGCACGATCGCATCACACGCTGGTGCTCTCAGGGGAAGCTGGACTTCGGGACCAGATCCCTGGTTCGGGTCCCACCTCTGCCCCCTGGTGACAGCACGACCCTCAGTGGGACATTCAACCTCTCTTTGCTTCAGCCCCTGAACTGCAAATTGAGAATTGCTCACTGGGAGGGTTCGAGTTAATATGTATAAAAGTATTTAGCAGGATACTTAGCACATAAGGATGATATTAATGTTCGCTATTTTCATTATTCTCGTTATGGCAAAAGCACAGATTATTTGGGCAGATTGGGAGAGTGGTCTGGAATGGGGTCCAGCAGGAAGGGGGTCCATCCGTGAGCAACAGATGCAAAACCTTACTGGCCTTTAACGTGGGTTTTGGCTTTTCAGGGCTGGAAAGGAAAGGAATAAAGCGGACAGGTACGCGCTGGATTGCCAGGAGAAGGCGTATTGGCTGGTGCACCGATGCCCCGTGAGTGCCACCCTCCCTGGTTTCACCCGTCTCTTCCTGCGCCCGACCACTCCCAGCCTTGCTCCCCATCCCCCTTTTGTGGCTCATCTCTGCCTGGTGCTAGAATTGAATCTGCAGGAGTTGTTGCTCGCTGTTGATTAACGTCCACGGGCCTCTGGCTGCAAGAGGAAATTCACCACCTGGATGGAGTCCGCCCGTGGCCCCTCCGTTGCTGTTAGGACTGAGTGCATTTCCATAGCGGAGGGACCTGAATGAGTCTGCCTCGTGTGAGGGCTAGGACTCGATGCCTTAGAAGAGGAATGTAAGAAGGAAAAGGTAGGACACAGGCTCCACGGCGGGAAAAATCACACGTGTAGGGAACCGGAAGACGGCCCCGACACGGACGGGTAGGGACCCGTAAGCCGGCCTCGCCACGGCCGTGCCGTGGGTCTCTTGCTGCTGTCCTCCTCTCTGGATCCGGTCCCCGGCAGAGATGGGGGCCCGGGGATAAACGTGTGCTCAGCCTCATGGCTTAGAACACGTGGTGTCTCTGGCCTTGGGACGTTAGGTGGCCTAGAGGCACAAGCTGGACATACGAGATGCGACGTGTAGCAGCTCATTACTTGGGAGGGAAGCCGCATCCCCAGCGCGGAGAAGCAGGCTGTAACCGCCACCCACCGCGGGGGCCTCTGCCGCCTCGGTTCCCTCCCGCGTCAGACCTGTGTGCTGCCTACCGGGCACTGGAGGTGAGAGAAGTGGAAGGAATTCTGCGAAGTGGAGCATTCGGAACACACGTTCCTCGTCTTCCTCCTTTGGTTTTCTTGCCTGACCGGGAACCAAGTTCTCAGAACTGGAGAGCGAACTGCGTCCCTCACGGGGCCAAAGCTTCTGGAGGTTTGAACTTGGAGCCCATCAGATTTGGGCCGTTTTGCTACTTTTCTTTCTGCATTCAAGACAGGCAGCCCATAAGGTGTTCCAGCTGCAAGGACATTGGTTTGGATGCCTCGTTGCCGAGGTTAAGGCCCTGGGGTTGAGGCGTGTTTGGTTTTGCTTTGTTTCAGGGCACCTCCTCCAGTTAGACCACTTGGCCGATGCCCGACCCAGGTCCCTGGGGGCCTGAGCGGAAGGCTGCTTGACCGAGCACAGGGTCCTGGAGGTCAGAGCCCACACCCGCCGTCCCGCGGGTAGCACAAGAGTGAGATCTTTTTGTGAGAGGGAGGCAGGCCCAGGCCGTGCTCAGCCCATATTGTCATCTGATCCTGAAGCGGG